TTGAAATGCACCAAAATCGTTTTGAAATGCATGAAAAACCTTCGTACTACATTAGGATATGCAAGAACATCGGCGTACATAGGCGTGTAACGTCATTGATAACTTCAGAACTGCAAAAATTTATGATTCTGTGTCCGAGCTGCTGTAAAATCCGCGTAAGACATACAAAACCCTTCATAATACGCTAGAACACGCAAGAACTTCGGCGTGCATAGGCTTGTAACGCAGCATACATCTTCAGGCTTCCCAATTCCAGATTTCTAACGTCCCAAAAAGGCTAGCAGCGGTGAAAGTCGAATTTTTAAGATTTCTATAGTCAAAAGGCTTGGTGACACCATCCCTTGAAAACAGCCTAAGCGACAATACCTTGCTCAATTTTTGGCCATTCATACGTTGTGTGGTCCCCTGACCCGGCTTTTACCTATCCCAGCCCCTTTAATTGCCCATTTTTCAGGAATTTTTCGACAATTTCCGCTCAAAGCCTCCTTCTCCCCTCCTCCTCAAATCAGAAAAATGGTCGGGATTGCCGTGCAATAGTGAGAGATTCCACTCCAGTCCACCTGGATAACAAAAGACACCCCACACACAGTTCCCCAAGGGTGAGTAAAAAAATTTTCCACCCGCTCGCCTGAGCCCCGGAGGAGTTGGATGGGGGAGGAAGAGGAGGATCGTCCCGAGAAAAAGAGAGAGCACTGCGGACCATAGCACTTCTTTTTAGGCACTTTTCTCGCTCGCTCTCTCTCTCTCTCACTCTCTATATCTCTCTCTCTCGCCGGGGCCCCCTCAAGAGTTTTCTCTCCGGGCGCCTGCGCGCGCGCGAAGAATGGCTTGGCTGCCCGGGCCGACCGGGCCGATCGGCTCCCGGATGAGATTTTGAGGGAAATTTTCGTTTCCCGAAAACCCATCGGGCTTTTTGGCTGGTCGGCTGCCCATGGCAAATCGGTGGAGAAACGAAAAGTTGTGGAGAAGTCAAATCGGGGAGATCCGCGTGGATCTTTTTGGGCATTTTCAGTTTTGGCACGAAACCAAAGTAGGAAAGGAGGAAAAAATTATTTGGCAGACTGCCAACCCCCGAATTCGATATATCTTGCCCTGGGACCAGCTTGAATACGCGACGCTCGGACCTCGGGTTCTCCGTTTTTCAACACCCCATAGGAGAAGAAGCGACCTTGGCGAGCATCTGTGCCCGGAGGGCATGTGTTCGGAGGCCTGACCCGGAAAAACACTGGCCATTTGGGGCGCTGGCCATATTTGGGGCTACATATCATTTTGTAAGGTTGGGTTGTGATGCTAAAAAATTCATAAAGAAATATCCAGCTGTCAGGATACCATTTAATTCCGCATGGATACCTCATTCATTACATGCCACTTTTGGATCAGAAAAATGACAGAGAAGATCTGAAAGGAGTAAAGATTTGTAAAAAATAACCTCTAGGTATAGTCCTAATTTTTCTGTGGTATCAAACGGAATTAATAGTTTTCAGTTTTCCGTCAATCGAGAGAGCGATAACCTAGATGTCACACTACAGATACTTTTAACTACAACGGCTGACGGGGTTTAAGGATCCAAATTCAGAACAACTAGCTGTCGCGCTCCCTTCAAAGCCAAATGGTCACTGTGATAGCGCCGGAACTTCCGCTTTTCCAATATTTCGCCCCAGGCATCAATACCACCCAGTCCCCCCCCCCCTCCAAATCGAGTCCAATTTAAATGCGAAACGATCTGCTGTGAGAACCAGGGGGACAGTCAGGCCCCCCGTTTTCCATTCCCGCATTTCGAGGGGGGCCTGTGTGTGCTGGAAAATGTAGTGATTCGCTTTTTGGCAAAACCCCCGACGGCGGCCCGGGCCCGGCGCGCCCGCCCGCAGGCTGCTGCCAATCGATGGCCTCAGGCGCCGGAAAAAAGAGCGGAAACGATCGAAGCAAGAAGAAGAAGAAGACAAAAACGGAGGGAGGGAAGATAGTTCCAAGGCGATACGGCCTGAGGGCTAAGGCGCTAGTTTTGACTGTCCATCAAACCGGGAGAATCATCGCTGGATGCAAATATATAGTCAGCCTAGACAGGGCTCGGATCGTTTTTTGCGGTGTCCCTAGGAGTGTTTCGTACAGTTCCGATTCTTGGGTTATAAAGTCTCCTTAAAAACAGCTAGAACGAGCATGACCACCAGCCAAATCAGTCTATTTTGACTCGAAATTCTTCTCCAAATTCCACGCTTTGATTTTCCATGACATTCCTAACCACGCCAAAAAGGGTACATTTCGATCGTCTGCCTGGCGCTTGAATCGCCTGCAGCGATATTGAAAACACCCGAGACCAGGCGCTACGTTGAATACAAAAGTTTCGATTTAGGGCCGGGAAAATTGAGTGTTTGGACCAACGAATTTAGTACAAAACGTACTCCAGATGACAGTGGTTTAAACGACTATGCCATGAATTTCCTCAGAATTTGACGCTCCGATCAAGTACATAGAACGTCTATGCTACTGTGCGCCACGAGATGTACGCTTCGAACGATACGATCCGAACGAAACTACCATACGCTATGAGAACTCTGCGTTACGTTCCGATAGTACGCCACAATACTATCAGCTACAAGACGATACTCTGCGTTACGGTACAATACACTACGCCAAACCTGGGCCCCTGTGATGCATCTTAACGGGGCCGCTATTAATGCTGAACAGAGCATAGATGATCGGACTCGATCATTTTCAATGTCAATCCCTAATTTTTCATTGCCTAGAATTCGCATACGCCCCTGTTTACCAACCCCGATTTTTCCTCAAAACCATCCCCTCCCCCCGGGCGCAGTTTCAGCATTTTTCCCTGGGCACACGCAACACACGCGGGGATAGCTGAGCCATTGTTGGCAGAGCCCTGGGGGCTGCCTGCTCCGCTTCGAAAGCTCTGATAAGAAGCCCCGGGCAGAAAATGGCGAAATAAGGGCCCAAAGAAGAGAGGAGTGCGGATGCAAACATGAAGAAGGGCCAGCCTGAAGGGGGAGAAGAGCTGCCATGCCTGCCGGCAACCAACCCCAAAACGGTGATAGCGTTTTTTCGGGTCTGCAAGATCACATGGCCCAGGATGGGGGATGGCATCACAGCCTCGGGGCGCTTCGAGAAAACAGAACGGAATCAGTCTTATCAAATCGGTAAAAATTCGCTAAAAACCAAAAGCAAACCGATTACGCAATGAAATTCGTTTTTCAAAGCCCAAAAATCATTTATATTGCAAAATTACATCCCAGTTCCCTCAATTTTTATCCCAATTCCTCACTTTCCTCTTCCAGCAAAATTCAGGGAATTTTTTGATTTCCCTCACCACCCGGATCCACCTGATTTTCCGCAACACCAGGCCGTACAGTTCTCCCCCTTCGCGCAACACCCCCAAGGCCTACCTCCTCGTCACTTTTCTCCGTTTTCCGGGAAGTTTCCAAGAAAGAAAAAGTCACAAGCGAGGAGGAGGAGGCTGACCCATTTTGGGCAGCTGGGGGGGTGGTGGAAAGGACTGTTGGTTGGCGAAGCAAAACATTTTTGGGCCGGCAAACAAACAACACCCACAGGCGGGTGGGAGGTGGAATTCAGCATACCCGGGTGGTGATCGGTTGGCTTTTTGGGTCGGATCAGACCCGAAATCGACTGTTTATCTCCCGGAGTGATAAGGGAAGAGTTTTTGGGTCAGTGCCAAAGATGGTAATTAAAGGGGCAGGGAAGCAAATCAGGATTTGGAGAGATGCCAAGAGTCATCTTTATGTTTCTCTCACTCGCTCTCTCTCTTTCTCTCTAGCTTTCTCCGGGGTTCCCAACGGCTCGACAATCCGTGGATTCTTGCCTTCCTCGCCCCTTTAAAACTGACCCGAAAGTCTGATGGAAAAATCGCCATGCACTTCCTACCCCCCGTCATCGACATGGTCAATAACACCCCAAAAAACGCTCCCGAATTCGTCAACCCCGCCTAAGGGGCTGAGTCAGCTTCGTTTCGGGCCCCCGCGTGCCGGAATCGTCCGCCCTGACCTTGGGCTGATCCCAATTTCGGGCTGCCCGCCACCGCGGTCGATCCAACACAGGGGCGCGCAACGAATTGGGAAATGGCCAGCGGGGGTAAATAGAGCAAAAAAAGTGGTGTTGATACGTCGAAGGCAGCGAGAACGGAATTTGGATCTTCACGGTACCTTTAAAAGCAGTGAACGCCTCGAATAGGTCCGGATTAGGCATGGGCTTAGAATTCGGTTTAAGCTTGGGCTTGGGCTTAGGTTGGGCTTAAGCTTAGGCTCAGGCTTAGACTTACGCCTAGGCTTACGCTGAGGCTTGAGCTTGGGCTTAGGCTTACGCTTTTTGCTTAAACTCTAGCCTTCTTTCCCCCAGCTATTCATTCCCTCTATAGGTCCAAAGATTCCACCCCACTCCAACTGACGGCCACATTCACGCAGAAGCGCTGGCCGTGGTGGTCTGGATGCCGTTGGGACACACGCGCCCCGCCGGGCCCCCTCTTCGTTTACGGAAGGCGGAAAACGGGAAAATGCATGGGGCCCAGGACGCGGGGCTGCTGCTGCTAGTTGCGCGGACCCGCAGGTGCGTGCGGGTGCGGGACCGCAAACACGGGAATTCTGTGGCGCGCGCTAGTGCGAGGGTAGACGCACACGTGTGCCCCGCGGCGACGGGCACACGCCGTTTTTTACGCGGGGAAAAGAGGAGCTCTTCTTTTTTGGAGGGATCGAGAGCGGAAGATGGCAACGCGCGCAGGCGCGCTGGGGGTAGAAAGTGCAGAATTCATTGGGGGATTTGGGGAAATTGAAGGAAATTGAGTAAAAGGTGATAAGGAATAAGAGATCAAAGAGGAAAAATACAGTTTAACGGCCATAAAATAACGCACGGTCTAAAAAAATCAAAGTTTAGAGAGAAGAAAATGATGATTCAGGATAAAAATGATCAAGAAAACGCGTGAAAACCCCAAAATACCAGTAAAAGTATAATTCCGTAACGCTCCTCCAAATACCAACCTCAGCCACGGTAACCTTGTACTTTGAGGTAGAAGACAATAGTGACAGGCGGCCAGGAACCGAGCAAAAAACGTCTCCAGGATTCCCGGGACCAGGCGAAATACATTCAGTCGAGCCGGAGTCTTCATTCGTGCCCTAGCAAAGGTATCATTAATGCGTCAGGTCATATCACTTTGAGCCCCGGGATTGGATACTTTATTTTAAAGGCATCGGAAACCTGTCGAAAACCTAGAAAACGCACCTGATCCGAGCTCTCCGAATCGGAAAAATGCTCCTCCTCGGCGGCATCAGAGTGTGGCGGCTCTGGGTTGACGATCACCGACGTTGGGGGCTCATTTTTGAAGAGGTCCACGGTGAAAACGGGGGATTTCTTGGAAGCTGTTTCCGAAAGGATTGGACTCGCTGGCCGTTTTTGTTGGATTTTCTGTTGCAGGGCGGTGGATATTCTAAAAAAGCGAAGGTATCGCATGGTAGAAAACTTCAGGAAATTTTTATGGTATTTTTCGGTAGTATTGGGCCTCTCTCTAATCGGGTAGCCCGAGGGCTTCTGCACTTTTGCAAGCTGTTTCGGCCGTAAACAAGCCGGATATCGGGTGATACGGTAAAAAATATTAAGATACAAATATGAAATTTTATGGCCAAAAAAGCCATAAAAAATCGTTTTCAAAGCATCACTCGTTCTGAGATGCCACTAAATGTTAAAAATTAAAGACTTAATTGTTGATTCTTCCGTTAAAAGTTGAGAAAAACCTATTTCGACCGTTTTTAAGCCACAGTAAGACGTCAAAGGTATCGAAGCGTACTAGTGATGGATTAGGCTGTTAAACGTATTACTTAAAAGGAAAATACACCTCTAAGTCAACTTAGGACAAAAGTAAGGGAAAGTAGCTTCATTTTTAACCTACAGTATGTCGTAAAGAGTATCCATGCGTACTACCACTTACCTATCGATAGCTGATCGGTCCTGGCATGAGGACAACATCGTACACTCTCGGGCTCCCCGGCCCCGGAAGAATCGATCAAAAAAACGGAAGCTGATCTCGCCTGGGTTAAAGGGGCGTTGAAGTCAGGGCAGTTGGGGGAGGGACTGTGGGAATGATTTTGCCCTTGGGCACCCTCAGAGGCAGACGGTCCCGAATCGAGGGGGTGGGGCTGTTGGTTGGGACGGATGGGAAGCGGGGAGAATGCGATAGAGAGATGCAGAGAGAAAACTGTCCCGGCCGGGCTGGCAGGCAACGAGCCCTGCCCCCTCCGGTCCTATACCCCGCTCTTTCACTGTGGCCCCACCCCCACCCAAAAATACAGACAGGGTGGATTGGACTAAGGGTCTCTGCTAGCTGGCCTGGTTGAAAAGCAACAACGAGAAATGGAAGGAGAAAATTGGAACCCAAAAGTTACATGAATTCCAAAGTGATCACTGCTCGATCGCCTTCTTCCGTTGCGATTCGCATAGCAAAGAGATTACAACCTACTCGGCGCGGTAAGTAGTATTGTGGTGTAGCGTGTTGTGGCGTAGCATACCGTAACTCGGCAAAATATTCGAATCGGATCAAATTATCTCTGCTATCCTGTTATTCTTGACCTCCTCGGGTCCGCAAGGATCTAAGCTAGCTTGCTTGCACTGATCTTACAAAATCTCGTTTACTGTATCCTTCTCTTGTCTTCTAGCTATTTCCCTCTTTCTCTTTCTCTCTCTCTCTCTCTCTCTCTCTCTCTCTCTCTCTCTTTCTTGCCCTCCCTTCCTGTTCTCTCTCCCGTTTGGAGGGACAAATGATCTCCGTTAGCACCCCTCATATCATGATTCCAGGATTCGCTAATTCCAGCCTCAATTTACAGCCTTCTCTGAAATGATGACTGTGCGTCAACTGTATTGTCTCGTGGAGAAACCGACACATCGTTGCCCGCCTTGCCCGCGGGGCCCTAACGATTTCCGAACTGGGAGATGGGATTGCTATTGAACGCTTGTGTGAATCTAGCCGCGGGCTGGTATAGCTTCAAGGGGATACGGACGATTTGAGGGTATTGTTTCCACTAGAAGAGCGTAATTGGTTGTGATTTGTTTATCCAAAATCACTGTGTATTCTTATTCTGAATATGTTTATCCAGAATCACTGTATAGGTCTTACATAAATTTAAGAGACAGAAAACCGCGGCAGTAATGGGGGCGTGATAAACCAGGTATTGATGTTTGGCTTCAGGCACCTTTGCGCGGTTTTCAGGGTCGGTATTCATCGCTGAGAAGAAGTAGAATCCCAAAATTTTTACAATACAACGATACGATACAACTTTTTTTCGTTCAGCTTTTCCCAGACGGATTGAAGACAAAGCCATGCCCGGGGCTATCGGATCACACGGTTCGGCTTCAGCCCGCGGCCGCACGAGCCCAACAACGAAACGATTTCCGAAATCGAAGAATTGATCTCATGGGATGGGCAGCCGAATGCTATGGGCGAAACAGAGCGGTTTCTAGCAAACTGTCGTGTACGAAATTCATGAAAATTCTGTGTAGCCTAGTTGATGTTAGAATTTCGGTAGCTCGTTGACCAGAAGAACTCGCAGAAATAAAGATCCAGGATCATAAAAGCTTATGGCCAGTTGTTGTCAAAAAGCCTTTTTCAAGAATTTTTGAGTCGGGTTTTCCTCTTCAGGCGCAGTGACTGCCGGCGGTGAAGCCGGTTAATTGGCGAAGTGGTTGCCTTTAGTTTATTATTTCTTGATTGCGTGATCACCAAACTTTTATTTATTACAATTTCTTGGAAAGATACGATAAGCCATATATCCGGTGGTCCCCAAGAGAGCTGACACCAGAGCCAATACCGTGACTGGTACCATCCGGCGGTTAGCGCCCCGCTAACTCATCATAATCTATTGCGTGGCCCAGCTTTGGAATGTTGTCGATCTAATGGCCCTCGCGGAGTCGATTAATGGGCTCCTAGGCAGTTGCAGACCGCAAAAGATGGGGCCGTCACCGGAACACATGGTGCCAGCCTCTGATCTAGGCGCGCGAACCACTCCCGCGCTAATCGCCCCTTTGAAAAATTATAAACACAGCGGATGGTTTGGGTATGCAAATCTGTGAGGAAATGTATCGTAACCCAGTTCTCAAGATTTTAAGCATATCGGCATCTTCATGAGCTTGGAATTTGGCAAAAAGCCAGGCTTTGATCGGGAAGCGGAAGCTTTTCTCTAAATGTTGCTCATTTACAGTACTTTTTTGCGATCACCAGTCATCGGCTATCCGCCAAGCCCTGCGACGCGAAACCAGACAAGAAAGGCGTAATTTTGCTCTTGTCCCATTCTTTTCCATTCTTTTCTTTTTCTTTCTTGACACCCTTTCTTCTCGTATTTTCCCACCCGAAATCCGGGAAGAACGGCGCCCGCCCGAGGGGGAAAAGCCACGCGAGGCGGAGAGGAGCGAGAGGGAGAAACATCAAATTTGAGAAAACATGAATGGGAAAAACATTTTTTCGTGTGTTGTGCTTGTTTCTGCATTGTCAGCCCAAGCATTTTTCTTTCTTCTCTCCCCGCTTTTGCCTGGGGCTGCTGCTCCTTTTTTGGAGCCGACTCATTCTCCGAAAAGGAGAACGCGCGCGCCCAAAAATTAGACTCGAGTACTTTCCCCTCCTGGCTCGAGCCCCTCCCCGAAAATAGAGAAAACAGGTGCGTGAAGCCAAATCTGTGTTTTTGAGCGACATTCACGATCAAGCAGGAAAAAGCCGGGAGCAAGATGACCACAACAAAAAAAGGGAACAACATGAAAATGCGGGAAAGTAAAAAAGAAAAAATGATGATTTGGAACTTCGGTAAGAGTCTAGTTTATCCCCCAGGCCCTAAATTTTCAGCCATACGTCCTATTAATGCGCCGAGTATTTCAAAATGTTCGCCGTGGTCGAATTACTATAGCCAAGTTGTTTTCTTACATCAAAAATTGTTGGAAAATTTTTTAGAATATTTTGAAGTTGAAAAGAATTAAGCCGTCATGCTTCGATGTATTAGGAGCCTAAAACTCAAATATTTTTATTTTCCGCTGTTTTTTCGACTCGAACGTACTGTAGGCTTATTCTACAGAGCAAGAGCTACATTTTGGTACCATTGACAGCTCTGTACGTCAAAAGATAGCTTAGATACGAAAACTCACTTTGGAACAGCAAAAATTAACTAAAGAAAACCCAGACTTATAATTGTTATAAAAATTTTTCTAACAATTTTTGATGTAAGGAAACAACATGGCTATAGTAATTGGACCACGGCGAACATTTTGAAATACTCGTCGCATTAATAGGACGCATGGCTGAAAGTTAGAGGGCTGGAGGTAAACTAGACTTTAGCCGGAACTTCCTCGACGAACAGGTATCTCGCATCAGAGAAGACGCAAAATTACCTGTATAAGCATCGATGGACCATTGAGCCGAGGAGTTTGTTGCGAAATCTTGCGATATATGAGAACTTTATTAAGTCTACTTTCTAAACGTCTTCGGCGGATGACTGACGATTCTAGAACGTACTCGAATAATTTTACGAAAAGCTACAGTAATGCATAAAACACAAACAATCAGCACCCGAAAGCGAATTTCTGTAATGTATAAAAAAGCTCGGCATTAAAATAGGTGGATCGAGGAACAAAAGTATCTTCGGCTCTTTTTTTTTTGGATGGCTCAGTAAGGCATGCCAATGGGTGTAAGTCGATTTTAATTTTAGAAGCTGTATATTACACTTCCCGAACCCCCCCAACCCCCTCGAACGCCCCTGCCAACCCCCTGCCAACCCCCCTACAACCCCCCTACCAACCCCCTAAACCCCCTCCGACCGTGCTCTTATCTTGCTCACTTCCTCGGTTATTCTGCATCGTGTTTACGGTCGGCTTTTTGCTGATTTTATTTGAGACTTGCTTTGCTTTCTTACGCGCTAAAGGAAGGATAGCGAAGAATGCGAAGAACCAATGCCAAAATTGGAACTGAACGCTACTTGACGGGACAGTGGCAGAAAGGCATCATCTGCCTGCAAACATTGATTGAACTGGTGCATAGCTGTACCTATGAAACACACGGCATCGATTCTGTTGATCTTCAGCTTTTTTTTAATCAGAGGTAAACGACCAAAAATTGGAATCTATTTAGCGCTTGACAAAGGAAACCTGGCTTCGTGTAAATCGCCGGCAGCGCCTTCAGGTAGATTTGGCTACAGAGAGCAATAACTTGAAAATATCGATATTTTGCTAAATTTGCTTGGTACATATTTACTACACGACCCTCCGATTTTGGCTGTATTTTGTTTCGTTTACGATACTAGTTTATTGCAGCTTAAAATAAGATCTCGCGTCATAACTGTGATAGTCGGGGGTTTTCAATCACGCAAAACACTCCAGGCATGTTTTTGAGTTGTAAAATCCTAACAAAACGTGTAGTTGCTGGACTTTCCTTTTAAGCATCTGGTACAACGGCAATTCCCACTTTACAAAAATGCTACAGTAGCACAGCCCCTTGGCTAAGCTTTCGCAGAATTTGGTAGAAATCCTCGACGTATCCGAGGATTTATGGCTGAAAAACACATAATGGAATTTTGACCATATTTGAAACAGTTTGCGCAATCAAATTTAATGGCCTAAAACTGGATATTCTGGCACTGAAGTCATTCTCGTCGTTTAGCAAATTCCAATTTTTTTGAAAATCACGAAAACGTGCTTTCTGTACCGCCGTCTCAGCCGCTAAATCTTCCAACACACGTCACTCCCTCTCAAAAATCCCATTGCTGCCAGCCATCCCAGGGGGCTCTCGGGGGGCTGCTGCGAAAGGGGTCGCCTACCGTATCCCGGCCCCCAAACCCAGTCCGGGGGACTACAAACAACACCCAGACCCCGCGCCCCTCCGCCCGGCCAATCGGCCCAGCCCCCGGCTCGTAATTCAAACGCCCCCCGGCAATAACCCCTTATTTCATGTAGTTTTTGTAAAAATATCGTTATTTTTCAGAAACGGGCGTCTCAAATGGATCTGACAGCCCTGATCGACCTGTGCACATGTGAAATGTGCCACAGGATCGTCAAAACGGCCGCCAAACATAAAGTGGGTTATTGGAATCTGACAAAAAACCTCTAAAAATTAGAACGTTTCTTGGAATTTTAATGGTGAAGCTTATTATAGCTCAAAGTAAGCTTTTATTCAGATCAATTTTTAGAAAAACCTTAGAATTTGACTTCTGAATTCTGTATACTTTTGTCTTAGAAAGTTAGGTGTCAATTTCGCAAGTGTTTTGTTTATCATCGTGTAATCGGATTCATCCATGCTAAATTTCTACTGATTTGCTAAATTCAGGGTGATTTTATAGCAAATTACGGTATCAAACCGGGCTTTCATGGCTTTAAAAATTACTATTCTTAATAACAAAATGAATTTTTACACAAATTTTGTGGAAAAGAATGTAAAAAATAGCTGACATCCATCTAATAAAGTGAGTT